GGGGGGGGGGGGGGGGGGGGGGGGGGCAACATGGCAGCAGGCATTTGTAGAGAAAGTCCTCCAATCAGGAAGCAGCTCGCCGGGCTGAAACTGTTCAGGTTTAACATACAAAAGTAAAAGAGGAAAATAGATTTTGTTCTCTGTACACGGTGACACTCCTTGATTCAGTTTTTAAAAAAAAAAGAAGAAAAAAACAGCCCAACGGCTTCGTTTTTTCCCGCTCGGGGAGCCTCAGCTGTCCGTGGCCGCCCCCCCCCATAATTAGTTAATTAGTGCTCCTCTGGGGGCGGCCCTTTGCCACAAAATGGCCGCCACAAAATGGCCGCCCGGTGTCTGTACGGGCCCTTACCCTGCGGTGGGTCCCGGGTGGGCGGGGCTTCCTCTTTGGGTTCAGTCTAGCGAGATGACGTCGGGGATCCCGCCGTAAATGGCGGCGGCCACCGTTGCCTCGGCGACGCCCCCCCCGCCCCCCCCGCCCCCGGGCAGCGCCGGGTGGGAGGTCGAGTGCGTGTTGGCGTGCACGTCTCGCAGCCCGCCGGGCGCCACCAGGCCGGCGGCCGGCGCCCCATTGGCCGGCGCGGCGGAGGCCCCTGATTGGTCGAGGAACAGCTGGGCGGGGGAGGAGCCGTAGGGCAGGAAACGGTTCAGCAGCAGCTCGTGGTCGTCAGACGCCGAGGCCGCCGCCGCCGCCGCCATGACCATGTTGTAATGCTGGGGGGGGCGGAGACAAGAGAGAAGGGTCAGCAGGGAGGCTCCTGATTGGCCGAGAGGCAGAGATGGTCAGTAACGAAGTAGAGCTACACAAGTACTGTACTTAACTCATTGACACTATGACTATGCTATGACTATGTGCGTCTCACCGGCGCCATTTTTCGCATAGCGAACCATTGCGTTTTTTTTATTTGCCTACAGTCTATGCTCATCTCCCATCAAAAGTGGCACTGCCACCTAGAGGGTCAATTTGTTACTACATACTCTTATAAATCTCGGCCGAGTGGGCAAAGACCAGAAATCAGGGTCAGTTATCTGAGTGGTCTGTCGGTGGCCGCCGTTTCCATGGCAGCCGGGTCTCTTTAACCGCCGCACGCCGCCTCGTTTAGCCTCAACGCCATCGCAGAGGTCCCGTCAGAAAAAACAACCGATTTAAGATTCAATAAGAAGGCGTTGCCCCGACGACGGGACGCGCCCTGAATAACCACCAGCCCCCCCCCCAACCTTCCCGAGGACAAAGCGGGGATGAATAATGGATGAAAGAATAAATCGTTACAAATAAGACTGAAAGATCTTTTGGGGCGTTTGTTTCGTGTCCTAAAGGGATTTTTATGTTTTAATATTTGTTGGGTGGAGACGACGGGGTGAGATCCTTTAACCTCCTTTAGAGGTCAGATTTATGAGCCACTTCTGATACCATAAATGAATCCCTCTTGGACAAACTTTCATCAGGAATTCAAGTTGGAAAATATAAACTGAAATGAACAGAAAAAGTGGGAAAGAGCCTGGATTTTTTGTGTTTAACTGTGACTGAATTAATCAAAAGTGAAAAGCCTAAAAAATGCTATGAATCACTGACCTCACTGGCATCACATTTTAAAAAAGACTCAAAAATACTTTGAGTCTGCTATTTTTCAGTCAAACAGACGAAGATGAAGTCGAAAAATATCCAGTGGGAAGCTAAAACAACTCGAAACATTTGGATGGACCTCGGGACTCAAAGCTAAAGCTAAAGCTCCCGGGTTATTTAGACATTTTACAGAGAACTTTGGTTTACAGAAAAAGACAATTAGCCAAAAAGCAGGACAGGAGTCTACAGAGTAAGTCCAACTTATTTGTCCATGTCTCAGTATTTATATCGGGCTGTTTTCGTCCATAGCTGCGTGGAACAGCGCGTTTCCAGAGAAGTCCAGAAACCCTCGAAACACTTATTAAAAAACACTTTAAAACGAGTGGAATCTGAATCTGGCACCACAGTGCGGTTCTTAAATGTTTGTAAGGTCCATGTCAACACAACAAAGTTGTTTGTGGCTTTTTCCCTCAGAGGTTTGTCCAGAAACTTTGCTCTTTTGGATCTGTTGCCATTAATGTGAAATACTTCTGGTACCTGTTTGAACTGGTTTCTGAGGACAGGACTGAGCTCTAAAGAAAGAGAACAGGGTTCCTCTGTCCTGTAAATGTCGCTGATATGTCGCTGATACTCTAACAAATCATTTTACATAGCGTGTTTTCTGGGAAAACATTACAGTTCTGGAAGTATTTCAGTATTGTAGTTCGAAACCTAATTGTTTTTTTCACTCTGTCTCGTCAATATTGACATTTCTGCCGGCTACAGATGGGATCCAATTACATGATCAAATATGCAAATTGGGTGATGATGTCACCGGGGACAGCCA